TGCTAGGCAAGCGCCCTATCAATGAGCCACAACCCCAGTCCCTAAAATGGCTTTCGATGCCAAGATTTATCAGCAACAATCGATCAAAGCAGGATCCACTCCTCCTGACAGTAACCGCTGCCTCCTCTGTGCCTTTCCAGGACAATTCTTCCACCCCCTTGATTTTGAAGTGTCTGACATCCACCCAGGTTCTGACCCCACAAGGTCAGATGCTACAATGATGGTGAAGAACCGCCGGCTGACAGTCACCAGGTGGGTGGGCTGCTCCCCAGCACTCCTGCCCTTGGCTGCTTTTCAATTGTTATTATTGATCAGGGACTTCCTGTAGGTGTCACATGGGTTGGAGAGCTTCCTGGGGAGATACAACCTTGCCAGGTGCTAAGAGTGACTTTTTCATCCTCAGAGGCTTGCAGAAAGACTACAGCAAGGACCCCCGACATGGGGCAGAGGTATCCTGCTGGTTTGTCCATAACAACGGAGCTGGACTGATCGACGGAGCCCACACTGACTATATCGTCCCTGACATCTTCTGAGCCCTCCCACCGGCACACCAGTCCTCCCTTGGAACCACGGCAGAGGAGGAAGACGGCATCCTGATCTGCCACACCTCCCAGAGCAAGCTCATCCCTTGTGTCAAACCACCCTAAGACTTCCATTAAAGAGAAGCTGTGTCCAACCCAGAGCTGGTTGCTTTTGGGGAAGGAGGACAACGAGGGAACAACCTGACATGCTTCCTCCCTGGGAGGGCTCAGGGATCACAGCAAACCCTGGGGTGGGAAAAGCAGATCTGAGGCTGAGAGGGGAGCCCCATCCACTCTGCCTCCACCCACCACAGCCTGTTATCTGCAGCTGCCTGACTCTGTGCACTAAGTTGCTCCCCATACTCTTGCACACAGCTCCCTCTGCACACTCAGGGACCCAAGGATGATCTGGCAGCATGGGTGCCCCAGCTGATTGGGAGCTTCCTGTAGCCAAGCACTGTCTGAATGATTTACTTGAATTCTTTAAGTACATTTCACCATGCCCATTTATAGCTGAGGAAACTGAGGATTAGGTAATCTGTCCAGAGTCACTCAGCTAACCAGAGGCAGGTCTAGGACTTGAACTAGTGCTGTCTTCCATCAGCCATCTGTCACATATGAATACTCCCGTCAGCTGGGAGGCAGAAGGCCAAAGCCTGTTGGGACTTGGTTCCAGATAACTTAAAATGAACATTTGGAAGAACTGATTCCAGGTAGTGTTGGGGGTCCCAAAGAAGTCTACCAAGAACAGGAAGCTGCACCATTGGGGTCATGGCTTCCACCTCAACCCCATTTCCCTGCTGGGGATTGGCAACCTCTGACAGACAGCTTGGTATTTCCCAGAGGCAGAGAAAAGCACTGGCCAAAAGCTGGGGATTCAGGGGCCTGAGGTCTGTGGCCCACATTACTGTTTCCTCATACTGGTGTCTAGAATTACCTCAACAGGGTTCCTTCCCTTGGCTCAGCCTGGCGACCCAGTCAAAATGCAATGTCTCAGAGTGCTAGGAGACGAATCTACACACTAACCCTTCACATGAAGGTGGGTGGGCCTCCACCAACTCCATTCCAAACAGCTTCTTTTTTCTCTGCTGTTTCTGTCCAGTTCCTGCTACAAATGAGGGCTGCAAGGGCCCAGCTAGGACAAGGATGAGTTTTGAGGGCCCAGATGAATAGCACACACACACACACACACACACACACAAATTGAGTCCCGTAGCACAAGTCCAAGGCTGCCCTAGTCCAGGTGCGGTGGCTCTCACCTGTAATCCTAGCTGCTCAGGGGGCTAAGGCAGAAGGATTGCAATTCAAAGCCAGCCTCAGCAACATAGTGAGGCCCTAAACAATTTAGCAAGACCCTGTCTCCAAATAAAAAAATAAAAAGGGCTGGGGATGTGGCTCAGTGGTTAAGTGGCCCTGGGTTCAGTCTCTGATACCAAAAAAAAAAAAAAAAAAAGGCTGCCCCAGGTCTGGGGATTCAGAGCCCTTTAGGAGCAGGCGGTGGGCAAGCCCACACAGGCTCAGAGAGCAGCTCACCTTCCACAGCATCCTGGATTTCTCAAGGGCTGCTGAAAGGCAGATGGCCAAAGCCTGTTGGAACTTGGTTCTTACTGGGACAAAGGTGGCTCTGTCATCATCCTGCCCAACTTGGGCCTCCTCTTCCCCTCCTGTAGAATGAAGATGGGGTGAGCCTAAAGAGCTCTTAGAATCTGTATAATCCTAAATTTTGCATGATGGCTCTGGTTCCCTCCAAGATCCCTGTCATTCCTTAGGGCCTCTCTTTCTTTCTTTCTTTCTTTCTTTCTTTTCTTTTCTTTTCTTTTCTTTTTTTTTTTTTTTGTACTGAGGATGAACCCAGGGCTGCTGTATCACTGAGCCACATCCCCAGCTTTCTTCATGTTTTTGAGATAGGATCTCACTAAGTTGCTGAGGACAGCCTTGAATTTAAGATCCTCCTGCCTTGGCCTCCTGAGTGCCTGGGATTACACATGTGCACCACCAGGCCAGGCTCCTCGGGGCCTCTTAAACAACCGCAGAATCCCTATTTTGAATTGTCCCTCTCTTAAAACTCCAGTAGTTTAGATAAGGGAGGCTAAGAGTAACTCTGTGATCAGCTGTGGAGCCATTGAGAAGGAACCATTGGGTAATGTGAGCAAGACAACAGTCCTGCCCCAATCCCGCCCCACATCTGTGACCACAGCTGCTAAAAATGACCACACAAACAGAAGGTTTAATTGCAGCTCTTGGGCTGTCCTCTGCATCTCCAGGTGTTGATTGCCGGCTGGGTTTGGGCTCCCAGCTTGCACTTGATGCCCACTGCCAATGGGGGTCAGCGTCAAGATTTAGGAGACCGGAGGAGAGCAGGCACTGCCCAGCCAGGCCTCAGCATGAACAGTAACCGCTCAGCAGCTGCATCTGTCACTCTACCATCATTTTGCTGACTTTCCAACTCTTTGTCATTGTTCCATGGCTCCTGCCACTTCCAGTCATTAGTCTATGGCCTCCTTGTGTCATCCCCTGCCACATAATTTCTGCTTCCTGCCTTCTTTCTTGCTCCCAGCAACCAACTGTCTCTGTACATCTCACAGTCAGTCCCAGAACTTTTGGCCAAGGCCATGGGAACATCCATAAGTTAGCTGTCCTCTGCCCAAGTGTCCCTGTCTATTCCACTCAGCAATGGGCCAAGGGGGAGAGTCATGGGGTCAGCTTCACTCAGAGAAGCCATGAGGATGCTGGACTTGGGGCAGCTGCCCCTAAGGGACTGGGGACCAGCATGGCCCTGGTGTGGCTCAGGAGGTCCCAGCCCCCATGGGGAGAGTCCAAGTCCTGCCTCTGAAGCTCCCATTGTCCTGGATGCCAGAGCCCCAGCCTCACTGGTGGCCTTTGGAGGAATGACTCCCCAAGAAGCCAAGGGAAATCCAGTCTCTCTGGCTGAGCCCTGGGAGCGCCAAGTGGATCATGATGACATGGGTCCAGAGAGATCGTCAGACCTGAGCACATAAACCTCGCCATAATACAAGGTGGGCCTTCAAGGAGCTTGGAGCTTGGGACATGGCTGTCCTGTAGCCCATTAGGAGAAGAGGGAGGAAGGTTCCTGAAGGAGAAGTCCTGAGGCTGGCAGGAAGATGAGGGATGCCATATGCAGCGAAAGAGAGGGCATTCCAGTGGAAGAAGAGTAAGTTGAGAAAAGCAAGTTAGAGACAAATCCCAGGGAGAACTGGGCCACAGGACTTGGGATTTGCTCTTTTCCTGGTGTCCTTGCTGCAGGAAAGCAGGGAGCTGAGACTCCAGACCTCAGTTCTTGTGTTCCCACAAAAGAAAATTTAAAAGTCAGCCACCAAAATCCATGCAAGAGAACTTTATTACAGGTGAAAGTAAAAGCCAAGTGAGGCTCAAGCAGAGAGCACTCTCAAGAGAGAGGGTGGGCCGTCTCCAAGCAGAGAATGACAAAGAAGACAATGCTGTCCCCAAATTTATTACTGTTTGATGTTTACCAGGAGAACATTTAGCACTTTTGCCACCTTTTGCACTCTTTGCCAATCAGGTGTTCAACTCCTCCTTCACATTGGGTGGTAGAGGTTTTGACCTTAATTGGTTCCACTTAATTTGACCTTAAGTGGAACTGTCATGGTGGCCATCCTGTTCAGGGGGGCTTCATCCACAAGTCAACCCCACGTTAATGCAGGCACTGGGGTCAGTAGCTGGTCAGAAGTTATCTTAGTGTCCCTGTGCTACTAAAGGAATCCTCCTTCCCAGACAATTGGAGACACTTATAGCCATAATTCCTAACTTCCCACCAACCTCAGGGGGCCCTGTCAAGAGTTAGTCCCATTCATCCAATTCTCTTGATGTGATTTTCAACTAGCTCCCTTGCTTCTGTTTATTTTCTCCAAATTAACTACCATCCTTGGCTTTCTCGTCTACTTTGGAAGTAATTTAAAGCAGACCCTAAGTCATTTAATGAACACGTGACCTTGCCTGCATTTCACTGCTCATTGCTAGCTCCTACCTAACACCTTGAGAACCACAGTAGGATAATGAGCAAGGGGTTCAGCCMCGGAGGTCTGAGCTTAAAGGTGACGGTCTGGTTTTATGCCCCTGCTGCCTTGCGAAGAGCAGGGCTGTCATCCAGGCATCAGACCAGAGTCCCTGCAAGTGGTGAGGACAAGGGGCCGCGATGCTGAGATAGACGCCTTTTGCTCTCAATGGAATTCCACACCCTGTCTCCCATCACCCCCATGGTGAAGGCCCAGGGCCTGTTTGTCAACACGATTTCTGCTTTTCTGGGGGCCTCCATGTCCCTGGCCTGTCAGGAGTGAAGTCCCAACCCTGTCAATGCCCACGGGGCCCTCTTCATACAGACATCCGCCCACACCATTTTCCAGAGAAGCTTCCGGCCTTCTCTGCTCCAGTCCCAAGCTGCGGGTCACTGACCCTGCTCGGAAAACACCAGCCTGGCTAATATAAGGAGGGCGGGCCAGGCCTGCCTGCTCAGCAATGGCATCTACCTGGTGGCCCTGCCTTGTCCTGGCTCTGCTCTTCAGCGAGGCAGCCTCTGGCTTCTCAAGAAGTCCCCTCCGGCTGCTGGGGGTGAGTCTGCCCTCTCTTTACCACCAGGACCTTGGGGATCAAATGAGTGGAAGGCCCTGCTCTGGGCATGTCTTCTGGGCATAATGAAAAAGGGGCAGAGAGCTGGTACTGAACTGCTGGAACAGTGCCGGACCTTGGGGAGACCAGGCTCCAGCCAGGACTTATGCTAGCCTGCTGGCCAGCCCTGAGCAAGGTTCTTAAAACTTCCTGGGCCTTGGATTCCCCATGTGTCAAGTGGGTGATACACCATGAACTTCTTGCTCACTGAATGTCCACCTTAGAAAGGTGCAGAAGTCTCTACAAAATGTTGAGCCGAGCCCTACGGGCTGTGGTGGGTGTGGGATATTCTGGAAAGAGACCTAAGAGTCCTGGAAGCCAGGGAAAAACAGAATGGGAGGGAGGACAGGTTGGGATTTATGGGGCATGGGGAGAGTTCTGGGTCTCCTCTTGGATCTGCTCCTTGGGTGACCTAGAGAACTGTTCCTCTCAGTGTCCACCATTTATTCAGAGTCTGTCCTACTCTGACATATGCCGTGGGAGGGTCCTGTGTCTGGTAGGATGTGTGTAGTGGGCAGCGCTTATCTCTGCACCCAAGCCACAGTGGCCTTGCCCTTGGCTTAACTTGTTTGTCTTTGTCTTTTTTTTTTTTTTTTTGCAGAAACGGAGCCTCCCAGGAGGGGTGAGGACTTTCACCAGGGAAGGGGCCAGGTGGGGCAGGGCGGGCTGGATCTGGTTGCCCAACTGCTGAAGGTATACGTCATAGTAGCAGGTCCCACACAGCTAGCAAACAGCACATGGCCCCCTGCTCTGGCAGAGCCCCATGTGATGCAAGAGAAAGGGCACTCTGGGTGTGTGTCCTGGGTGGGGCACCCGCAGAACCACAGCTCTCTAACCTTGCAGGAGGCAGCTCAAGAGAGTCCCATCAGTCATCCCTTCCTCCCACACATGCTTCATGTGCTGGGCTGGGATCACACAATGCCCCTTCCCAAAGCATATTTATATTCTGTTTACCCCAGACATCTTTTTTGGCCTATCACCCCTGCTGGAAAGAGGGTGTCTGGGAACTCCCCTTGGCATGGGAAGGAAGTACCAAAGAACACAGGATGTGACCTGGGGGCTGGGGATGGTAGGAGGGAGAGTGAAGTGAGAAAGACATGTAGAAAGATCTAGAAGCTAGGACAGAGCCCTGGGTGGGAACAAGAACAGAGCCCTGGTGTGGCTGGCTCAGGATGAGCAGAGGAGGGGCAGCACCATGGTGGCCAGCTGAATGCAGGGACCAGGAACACTGCCCAGTCTTCCAATGTGAGTGACTGGGAAGATCGAGTGGCTGCTCACCAGGCAGGGGACTCAATCTGCAAAGGAGCATTTGGAAGGGAAGTCACCAGGTTAAAGACCTGCTTCCCCAGAGCCACGGTCTGGCAGGTCACCACCCTCTGATCTCTGCCCACCCCTTCCACAGGCTGCAGATGGCATCGAGGTCTACAGCACCAAGATCAGCTGCAAGGTGACCTCCCGCTTTGCTCACAATGTCGTCACCACGAAAGCAGTCAACAATGCAGACAAGGCCAAGGAAATTTCCTTTGATGTGGAGCTGCCCAAGACGGCCTTCATCACCAACTTCACCTTGTGGGTGCCACCATGGCTGCTGGCTCTGAGCTCCACAGGGGGTTCTAGCCCAGGGTGACATCTCCTCCCCCATACTCTCTGTCTCTGCAGGACCATTGATGGTGTCACCTACCCTGGGAACGTCAAGGAGAAGGAGGTTGCTAAGAAACAGTATGAAAAGGCCGTGTCCCAGGGCAAGACAGCTGGCTTGGTCAAGTAAGTGTGGATGCCCAGGCTTTGGGGAGACCTTGAGACAGAAAAGACCTTCAGAAACACAGACAGCACCTATTATTATTGTTATAGTAAAATGTGCTCATGTTGGGCACAGTGGCACACTCCTATAATCCCAGTGACACGGGCTGAGGCAGGAGGATCACAGGTTCAAAGCCAGCCTCAGCAACTTAGCAAGGCCCTAAGCAACTTAGCAAGACCCTGTCTCTAAATAAAAATATCAGAAAAAGGGCTGGGGTAAAAAATAATTTTTTTTAAAAGGCTGGGGATGTAGCTCAGTGATTAAGTACCCCTGGGTTCGATCCCTGGTGCTTAAAAAAAAAAAAGTGCCCATAATGTTTCATTTTGAAGTTGAGACAACTGAGGCTCAGAATGGTTAAGGGACTMCCTAACCAAAGGCTGAGACTTGAACCCAGAGCCAAGGAAGGATGGGCTCATGCAGCCTTTGAGGTAAGCATTGTCTCTCACCCCATCCAGGGCCTCCGGGAGGAAGCTGGAGAAATTCACAGTCTCAGTCAATGTGGCTGCAGGCAGCAATGTCACCTTTGAGCTGACCTACGAGGAGCTGCTGAAGAGGCACCAGGGCAAATACGAGATGTTCCTTAAGGTCCAGCCCAAGCAGCTGATCAAGCACTTTGAGGTAATCAACCGCTCCTGCAGCTCCTGATGGAACTTCAGGGGGAAACAGGGAAGGGCCCACAGGGCAGAGCTCAGGGCAGGGTTAAGAAGGCAAAAGCTGGAACTGGAGACGCTCATGTTAAGTGAAATAAGCCCATCCCCCAAAATCAAAGGCCAAATCTTCTCTCTAATATGTGGATGATGACGCATAATAAGGGGGTGGGGAGAATAGAGGGTCATTGGATTAGACAAAGGGGAATGAAGGGAAGGGAAGGGGATGGGAATAGGAAAGACAGTGGAATGAATGGGACATGACTTTCCTACGTTCATCATACGTGAATAAAGGACCAGTGAAACTCCACATCCTGTATAACCACAAGAATGGGATCCTAATTAGAATAAGTTGTACTCCATGTATGTAGACTATGTCAAAATACACTGTACTGTCATGTACATCTAAAAAGAACAAAGAGAGAAAAAGAAGAAAACAGCTCTGGCCCACCACTTGACTATAGAGCATTAAAATGCCTCAACCACAGCATCTGGGCCACGGGGAAGAGGCTGAGCTGGACTCTCAGGGACACCACAGGGTGCCTCTGCAGTGCTTGCAACTGGGGACAAGTGCATTTTACCTGCAGCAAATCTAAACGCCAAAGGAAATACATTAGTGGTGGAACTTGAGGACCCACATGACAGATGGTAGAAACATTCACGGGTCAGAGTTCCTGCCACAAACCCCTGTGGTCACATTCCAAGTGAGGGACACAAGGCTTGGCCCTCAGTACTGCCCTGGAGGGTCCCTGCACCATCATAGACCCATCTCATTATCCTCGCCCTTGCCCCGTCGTCCAGCCTCTCTGCACTATCACTGAGTGACATCTTTTTACTTTGGCCGTTTCAGATCGAGGCACACATCTTCGAGCCCCAGGGCATCAGCACACTGGATGCTGAGGCCTCATTCATCACCAATGACCTCCTGGGCAGCGCCCTGACCAAGTCCTTCTCAGGAAAAAAGGTGGTATAGATGCCTCTCAGACCTGGGGGACAGGGGACAGGAATGCTGGTCCCAGCAGGACAGGCCTGCAGCCCACAGCTTGATTATGCTAGCGTGTGYTGGGGTTGGGAGCGGCCATCAAGCTTCCTCCTTGGCCACCTGGGTCAGGGGTGAGCCTGCTGGAGGTCAGAAGCTGTTTGGAAGTTACCTTCCAAAGGAATTGGAGTCTCAGCTACTCTGGGGACTAGCAGAGAGAGGAACCGTTTATAAAGTCCAGCCCTACTCTACTTTGGAAAGTGGACAGGGTAGGCGTTACTGTCCCTGTTTTATAGACAAGGAGGCTGAAGCTAGATCTGCCGACTCCACATCAATGGGTGAAAGATTAATGAGAACCTCGTTCTTGGTCCCCAAGGTCCACAGCTGTTTTAGGGACATTATTGACAGTGGGAAGTGAATAAATAAATGTTTAGCTAGTTGCAGTGGCACATGCCTGTGATCCCAGCAACTCACAAGTTTAAGGCCGGAAGATCATGAGTTCAAGGCCAGCCCCAGCAACTTAACAAGGCTCTAAGCAACTTAGTGAGACCCTGCTTCAAAATTAAAAAAAAAAAAAAAGTAAAGGACTGGGGATGTGGCTTAGTGGTAAAGCATCCCTGGGTTCAATCCTCACTACTAAAATGAATAAATAAATATTTATATAAGCAACCAACCTCAGTCATTTAGGATGGCCAGGGTGAGTTGCTAGGAGCTCACACTCAGACAGCTGTGGGCTTCCTCAAGGCAGCAAGCCTGCCCTGGTGGTGGAAGGCACCTCCACTCCCATTCTCCTCCCTTTTCTCTCCCCTTCCTCGTGCAACATGCAAAACCACCCAATGTGAAGTTCCCCTACATAGTGCAAAACTCTCTTCCCTAAGTGGCTCTGGGTGCTGAGTTTCAAGGTAGGCTGAGCTTAGGGATATGGGGTGCCCATTCCAAAGTAATATAAAAAGTCAAATGAGAAAGATAGGTGCCTTCCTAGGAGGCCCTGGTCTCCCAGGAGGAGGGAGATATTCAGAGAGGCAGAGCATGGTGAGCAGCTGTATCCACTGGGACCTCAGGGCTCTTCCCTGTGCCGGCTCTACTGGGCTATTTACCAGTGGGCAGCTCTGGCCAAGCTGAGCAAGCATGACTCTGGCTCCATCTCTGTTCCTCAGGGTCATGTGTCCTTCAAGCCCAGCTTAGACCAACAGCGCTCATGCCCAACCTGTTCGGATTCCCTCCTCAACGGGGACTTCACCATCACCTACGATGTGAACAGAGAGTCTCCGGCCAATGTGCAGGTATGTGCCGATGGCTCCCTTGGGTTGGCTGGCTCACCATGATGGCAGGGAGAGAGAGATGGCTGCATCTAGTGCCATCTCTCTCTCCATCTTCAGCCCCAGGCTGTTTCTCTACTTGACATGGGACAGCTGATGATCCAGGGACACATTCTCCCTGGATGGCAAATATCTTCTCCCTGTAAGAGGAGCTGATGTGCTGTTACTAAGCCTCTGCCTCTCTCTCCCTTTTCCAGGTTGTCAATGGCTACTTTGTGCATTTCTTTGCACCTCAAGGTCTCCCAGTGGTGCCTAAGAATGTGGTCTTTGTGATTGACGTCAGCGGCTCCATGGCGGGTCGGAAAATACAACAGGTCTGCTCCGCAGTTAGGGGCAGAGTGTGGGGTGGGGGATTGTGGGGAGAGAGAGGTTATTTTTTTAAAGTGGAAAATGCTAGTATTTCTGGTGAAAGAGGAGGAAGTGGACAGGATATAAGAAAGTTCAAAGCCTCTGCCCACTTTTGGAGGGAGCCTCCGGTCAATGCTCCCTGGTGAGGACAGCAGGGCTTTTGTTACCATTTGGGTGGGAAGAGACCTCACCCATTTCTTGTCTATTTGTCTCTCTCTTCCCCAGACAAGGGATGCCCTTCTCAAAATCTTGGATGATGTGAAGGAGACTGACCACCTGAATTTCATCCTGTTCAGTGGAGGTGTGACCACGTGGAAAGACCAATTAGTCCAAGCCACTCCAGAGAACCTCCAAGAGGCCAGGACCTTCGTAAAAAACATTAGAGATGATGGAAGTAAGAGCAGAGGGGAGAATAAACTTACTCCTCTCTTCGCTGAATAGCATTTCCTTCCTGCCTTGGGGCAGAGTGTCTGCAGCTTTGTATGGGGCAGAGGTGGGATAGATGGTCCGTGGGCATGGTCAAGGGAAAATCATTTTTTTTTTCTGTCTCAAAACGCATGATCCTGTTGTTCTACAAGTCCCAGCAAGAGGAGGTCATAAAGCACCCTTTTTCTTGGTCCTGTTGCCTGTGGAAAATCATAAATGATATCTACACTGCTCCCCTCTCTTCCTGGTGAGGGGGGCAAGGAGTTCATTTGATTGTTTTGCAAACTGAGTTTGCAATCACCATATGCTTCTGTCCTTCTGTCAGCCCTTTTATTCCCATGTGAAAGCATAAGTTTTTGCCAGGCGTGACGGAGCACACCTGTAATCCCAGTGCCCAGTGGCTAGGGAGGCTGAGGCAGGAGGATCACAAGTTTAAAACCAGCCTCAGTGATTTAGTGAGGCCTTAAGCAACTCAGTGAGACCCTGTCTCTAAATAAAATACAAAAAAAAAAGGGGCTGGGGATGTGGCTCAGTGGTTAAGTGCCCCTGGGTACAATCCCAGTACCAAACAAACAAAAAAACCTAAGTCATTTGTTCATTCACACACTGATTGATTCAGAAGGCGTTATTGAGTACCTCCATGTATGGGCAGGTGGGATTCTTGGCACTTGAGCAGGGCCTTCTGTCCTGGCATCCTCTCACCCTGGCACCCTGAGAACACTCTCCCACGGTGCTCTCTGTCTGTGTCACAGTGACCAACCTCAACGATGGGCTGCTGAGAGGCATCCATATGCTGAACAAGGCCCGGGAGGAAAACCTAGTCCCTGAGAGGAGCACCTCCATCGTCATCATGTTGACAGACGGGGATGCCAATGCTGGTGAGGGGCTCGGGTRGCTCTGAGCCAGGGTGAGTGCCTGGTTACCCTCCTGGCTCTGAAGCTGGCTCAGTGTATGACCTCTGTCAGCTCTTCTCAGGGTCCTCCACAGACTGGGAGGCCCTTCATGAGCAGGACCCTGCCTCCCTCTACCAGGGTTTCCCAACATCTGCCCTGGCCACGGTTCATGGCCGTGACTCCACCAGCTCTGCAAGTGTGGGTATCAGACCTCTCCAGACAGAGCTGGTGCAGAAGGTCCCCCGGGTGCTGGCTGGAATGTGAACACCCCTCCCTGCAGGTGAGAGCAATCCTGAAAGGATCCAGGAGAACGTGCGCAATGCCATCAAGGGCAAGTTCCCCCTGTATAACCTGGGCTTTGGCAACAATCTGAATTTTAATTTCCTGGAGACCATGGGCCTGGAGAACCACGGGTTTGCCCGACGCATTTATGAAGACTCTGATGCTGACCTGCAGTTGCAGGTACGTCTTGTCTCTCACACCTCCAGGAATGAGGGCTCATTACTTCCTTAGCTGCTCTTCTGGGGGCCAATTTCAGGTATCAGAAAGAACTTCCTGGGGCTGGGGTTGTGGCTCAAGGGGGTGGAGCACTTGTCTTGCACATGTGAGGCACTGGGTTTGATCCTCAGCACCACACAAAAATAAATGAATAAATAAATAAAAATAAAGGCATTGTGTCCATCTACAACTAATATATATATTAGTCCAAGATCAAGGTGGTGGTGGTGGGCTGGTTCCCCTCCCTGGGCTGGGCGGGAGGGATCTGCTCTAGGCCACCCTTCCTGGCTTGTCAGTGGTCATCTTCTCCCTGGGCCCTCGTGTGGATCTGTATTCCATTTCCCCTTTTTATAAAGACACGAGTCATATTGGATTAGAGCCCACTCAGATGACTTCACTGGATTATGTGTATAAAGAGTCTACCTCCAAATATGGTCACATTCTGAGGAACTGAGGGTTGTGAATTTGGGGAATGCAGTACCCAATTCAACCCCTAAAAGGCATACTTATTTAAAATTTTTTTTTTAATTTGACTTTCAAATTTCACTGTGAGTTGGATGCTGTATTTCTTTCTCTTTATTTGCTGAACCTGGTCATCTCCGCTGGCATCTCTAGCTCTGCATGTGCACCCCGTGCCTCCCTCCCATCTGTCAGGCTCACATAGCCTCTCCTAGCTAGACAGCCTTTCTACCCTTACTTTATTCCTGGCTTTCATCCCAATAAACGTTTCTTGAATACTTTTTTTTTTTTTTTTTTTTTGGTACTAGGGTACTGGAGATTGAACCCAGGGGCATTTAATCACTGAGCTACATCCCTAGCCGATTTTTTATATTTTATTTAGAGACAGGGTCTTACTGAGTTAGTTGCTTAGGGCCTCACCAAATTGCAGAGGCTGGCTTTGAATTCACAATCCTTTTGCCTCAGCCTCCCAAGCTGCTAGGATTACAGGCGTGTGACACCATGCCCAGCTCATTTCTTGAATACTTTCCATATGCCAAGAACTCTGTCCCTTCCTTCTATTCTTCTAATCTCCACTGGGGAGTGGAGGGAGGGCTCCCATACACTGAAGGGCCCAACCAAGGCCACTCAGAAATGAAAACGAGGAGGCAGGACTGACTCAGCCCCAGGGGGCTAGATGCCATGTCATGGCATGGGTGAGAGCCAGCCCCTGGGGGCCTGAGATGACCAGCTCTCTGATCTGGACTCCAGGGCTTCTACGATGAGGTGGCTAACCCGCTGCTGACAGACGTAGAGATGGAGTACCCCCAGAATGCAATCCTGGACCTCACCCAGAACAGCTATCAGCACTTCTATGATGGCTCTGAGATAGTGGTGGCCGGGCGCTTGGCSGACGAGAACATAAACAGCTTCAAGGCAGATGTGAAGGGCCAAGGGGTGAGTGGGGACCTGGGGCCAAGAAGTGCTATCATTGATGGACCCCAGACCTCAAAACCCTCACCTCCTCTCACCCCCACCCAGGCTTTCAACGACCTGACCTTCACAGAGGAGGTGGATGTGAAGGAGATGGAGGAGGCCCTGAAGGAACAAGACTATATTTTTGGGAACTACCTTGAGCGGCTCTGGGCCTACCTCACCATTGAGCAGCTACTGGAGAAAAGGTGACCTTGGCCCACCCTTCACATAACCAGGCCTCCCCTTGGGTACCTGGCACTCCTCGGTACCTACCTGGGCCTGCTCCTGTGCCTGGCACTGAGGAAGCAGACCTGTCCCTGCTATTTTGCCCTCTTCTTGGCACAGTCAAGGAAATGTTCACCTTTCATCCTGAGGTTCAAGCAAGCAAGCTCTGCTGAGGCCAGCAACCTGGCAGGGCCTAGAGGGTGGGAACGGCCTTTGTACCTGGCTCCCTGCTTCCAGCATGACCCAGTGACAGTGAACAAAACTGAAGGCCGAGCCAGGGGCGGTGGTGCAGCCTGTAATCCCAGGAGCTTGGGAGGCTGAGGCAGGAGGATTGAAAGTTCAAAGCCAGCCTCAGCAACTCAGCAAGGCCCTAAGCAACTCAGCAAGACCCTGTCTCTAAATAAAATATTAAAAAGGGCTGGGGATGTGGCTCAGAGGTTAAGTGCCCCTGGGTTCAATCCCTGGTATAAACAAAAACAAAACAAAACAAAACAAAATTAAACCTAAGCCTAGGTTCCAGGCTTTAGGGCCCAGAGGGCAGAGCCGGGCCCACTCAAGAGGGCAGTATCAACATCCATTCAGATGGGGTCTGGCCCATTCTAAGTGCTTGGCACATGGACACTGTCATGTGGGATTGTCATAGCTCCTTATATTTTATAAGTGGGGAAACTGAGGCCCAGAGAGGAAACAGCATTTGTCCACATGCTCCAGGGGGCTGGTTAATTGGTCTCTTCTGAGCCCCAGTGGGCTCCTCTCTGGGCACCAATTGTGGGGTGGGTATCCAATCCTGGTCTGATTATGGGAGTTGGTGCAGGGCAAGGCAGGCAAGGGCTGTTCTCTGGGCTGAACTGTGTGGCTCCCACTTCACAGAAAGAACGCCCAAGGGGAGGAGAAGGAGAACCTCACAGCCCAGGCCCTGGACCTATCCCTCAAGTATCACTTTGTGACTCCACTGACCTCCATGGTGGTGACCAAGCCTGAGGACAATGAGGACCAGACAGCCATCGCTGACAAGCCCGGGGAAGGTGGGCACAGAGAGAAGAGGCCAGAACTCAGAGGCTGCCCTCTAGGACCCTGGGCCTTAGGAACTCAGAGGAGGAGTTGGCCAGGCCAGGGAGACTGGACTTCCTGAAGAGGGGCAGGTCTGGGCGCACCAGAAGGGAAATTGGTCAAGGGGTCAGAAAGGTGGTGTGGCAAGAGTGAAGCAGTCAGCCAGACATGGTGGTGTATACTGGTAACCCTAGCCACTTGGGAGGCTGAGGCAAGAGGATCACAAGTTCAAGGCCAGCTTGGCAACCTGGTGAGGCCATGTCTCAAAAAAATATATGAAAAATATGAATATGTATGTATACACCCACACACATGAGAGAGAGAGAGAGAGAGAGAGAGAGAGAGAGAGAGAGAGAAGCAGTTAAAGCAGGTAACAGGGACAATGGAGTGTGGGGTAAGTAGGAACCTCTAAGTCTCTCAAGGGATGTGAGTCAAGAAGATACATGGTCTATGCATTATTTCAAAGAAGGGACTTAGGGCTCAGTTAGACAAAAAGAAGCACTTGCAGTCTGAGAGTTGGCCTGGAGCAGGCTACTATGCATCTGGGGATTGTGAGGAAAAAGAGGCCTTGAGAACTAGAGTCTAGGACCAAGCCTCCTCAACCAGACCCCAGACCACACTCAACAAGGGTCCCCAATGCCCATTGCAGCTGGGTGCAGGGCAGGGGGCTTGGCATTGAGAAACAAAGTTGGCAAATAGTTGGGCTGGGGCAGGCCAAGCCCCTGTCTTCCAGGAGGTCTTGGTTCTATGGGACACTCTGGGGACAAAGCTTGCTGTCAGCCTGACGGCAAGCTCTGGCTCCTGCTCAGGCCACTCTCATTGGTGGCACTGGACCTGACCAGTAGTCTATGGCTTCTAACACATCTTTTCCTCTTCCTTCCTGGCTGAACCTGGTGATGCAGAAGGTAAGCTTCCTCCAGCAGCTGGGTGGGCATTGTGAGTGGGGGAGGAGGCAGAGCCCGAGATGTCATTCCAAGCCAGTGGGGACATCCAGCCTGGAGTCTGGGGAGGCTCAGCACATCTGGGCTCAGGTCCGGCTCATTATTGCCAACTCATGAGTGATCATGGACCAAGCTCTGTTCCCCTCTGAGCCTCGGGCTTCCCATCAGTGGCTTAGGGTGGCTTTTCTGCCCAAGAAGAGATAATCAGCATGAGAGTATTCTGTGATCTGCAAAAATTAGCTATGTAGCACATCAGGCACTCCTACTCTATCTCACACAGCCCTCCAAGGGAATCATAATGTCACATTTCATAGTGAGGAAAGAGGCCGAGAGGTTAAGTCTATTTGCTCAAGGATTCAGTAGGTAGGCTGATCTAGGACTTTGGCCTGGGCAGCTTGGGCCCAGTACCCACGCTGGAAATTGCTAGAAATAACTCTGCACCTGTCTCACCATAAAAATGGAAACTCACCCCACACCAGCCCATCACCTCCAGGGAGGACATCTTCCACACCTGCCAGCCTGTCCCCCTGTATCAATAAGGATCATGTTAGGACGGGCCACCACTTTTCCCTGAGAGCAGCCCTGTCATACATAGTCACTGGGATAAAATGTTCATGTGTGCATTTGTGTGTATATGCATGCATGTGTGTACCTGAGAGAGGCAGGTGTTTTACTACCAAGGAGCAACAGACAACTGTCTGTGGGCTTCAACCTAACCCAACTAAGGCTTGGAAAGCCCAAGACTGGGGACAAATGTCTGCTCTGAGTATTACTCAGGAGAGAAAAGCTGGTGACTTGATGGTTTGCATTTTAGCCACATAAAAATGCGATGCTCCTAGCATTCAAATGACATCTCTGTCACCTCCAGCCCTGTAAAGGAGTTCCCTGGACGTGTGCCCACTTATAAAGCCTCAACTTTAGGGTCACATGCCTATTTTTCTATGTGCCTGTGTCARGACCCCACTAGGGACAAGTAACCCCAAGACAGACATCAGGCACATGGCTGAGGAGAAGTGAACCCCTAGACTCTGCTCATGACTACCTTTTGTCTACTTTTTAGCCATATCTGCGATCCCCTCCAGGGCGTACTTCAGTGAGTATTTGCTGCCTGCTGTAGCCATCTCTGCTGCCCCATTCCTGTTTGTGATCTTTCCTGAGTCAGTTAAGACAGGCAAATGACCAGATGTCCTGCAGGGATTGGAGGGTGGCAGGGTAGGGGGAAGAATGAGAGTATTCCTGGCCCTCCCCAGGGCTGCTAGCTTACTCTGTCCTGCCTGTGCTCCACAGTTGGCTCCCAGCCTCCTCAAAACCCCTACTACTATGGTGAGTTCCCTGGGTCTTCCTGGGACAATGCTCGGGGTCTTGGGTACAGCCTTCCTGCCTACCTGGAAGTCCAGCCCACTGGGACCAGGAGGCCACGGGAGGCCCCTGGTACAGTGAGAGGCCCTGGGAGCCAGACCCTTCTCTCATGTGCCCTCAGTCGATGGAGACCCTCACTTCATCATCCAAGTCCCAGAAAAGAATGACGCCCTCTGCTTCAACATTGATGAAGACCCGGGCACGGTGCTGCGCCTCATCCAGGACCCAGTCACAGGTGGGGGCTGCGGACCAGGGTGCTTCCTGGGAGGGTCTGGAGCCATCAGGATGATGGAGGACAGATGAGGCTGGACACTTGAGGAATTTTCAGGAAGCAGGTTCATTTTATGCTACAGTGGTCCAGAGGGGGCTCGTGCTTAAAAATCTCTGGACCCTAAATCTGGATTTTTTTTTTAGATTTATACTCAGGGGTCATACTCATTGTCTCATATTCTTAGGCTAGCCACTAGATAGAGGTTTTATAAATTTTTTTTTCCTGCAAAACTGGCATTTACAAAAAGGAGAAAGCTACAAACCACGTGCCCTCTGCAGAATTTTTTTCTGATATCCTGTTGACACCCTTTGTAAAAATCTTTCTGACGAGAAGAGAAACTTAATTATGGCAAAGATCTTTTGGGTGGGGGTCCCTGGTCTGCTTCAAGGAGGACTCAGGAACCAGGTCTCTTTCCTCTGCCCCAGTAGCATATCCATCTTCATGTGCTGAGAACTCTGGGAGTGGAAGTGGGGGAGGGAGGACTGAGAGCCAGACTAAGTCCCTGGCGCTAGGAGACAGAGGGCTAGAGGTAACCAGTAGCCTGGTGCTGGGGCAGGACCCTGCCTGACTCTGGAGAACACTTTTTTTTTTTCCTCTGAAGAACATTCCCAGGCCCAGGCAAGAAGCATACCCCAGTGTCCCAGCACAACCTAGATCTGAAGTGTCCAGGAGCAGACAGGGCTGGGCTCTGATGTCCTGGTTTTTCCTTGGGGCTCTGCCCTGCCACCCTTCAGCAGGTCTCGTTGAAGGGGAAGGCACATCCCTAAAGGCCAGTCTGGACTCAGAGGGCCTCGCTGGTCTCTCTCCCTTCCCTATCCCTATCCCTCTGGCAGGCCTCACTGTTAATGGGCAGATCATTGGCGACAAGAGAGACAGCACAGCCACCAACAACAGAAAGACTTTCTTTGGGAAACTGGGCATTACCAACACTCAGATGGACTTCCGGATGGAGGTGACGACAGAGAAGATCACTCTGTGGAATGGGGATGAGCCAAGCACTTTCAGCTGGCTAGACACAGCCACCGTCACACAGGATGGGTAAGGTCCTCTAGCTAGGACTCTAAGGGTCAAATATCCAGAGGTCTTCAGAGAGACTGGTGGCCTTGGAGTTCAGTCCCTAGGGGAAGGTAACCACAGTGCCCCCCAACCAACTCCTGGGGCCCATATCAGAGGCAGAATTAGCAGCTGGACAGTTTGTAGAACTGTGTGAGGGACAGGCTGGTTGGATGAAATCATTAGATGAAAACTGAGCTGGTGGTACACATCGATATTCCCAGCTACTTAGGAGGCTGAGGGAAGAGGACCCCTTGAGCCCAGGAGTTCAAGACCAGCCTTAGTAGCCTAGTGAGACTCTGCTCAAAAAAAAATAAAAATAAGCCAGGCACAGTGGCATGTGCCTGTAATCCCAGCGGCTTGGGAGGCTGAGGTATGAGGATCATGAGTTCAAAGCTAGCCTCAGCCAAATTAGCAAGGCCCTAAGCAACTTAGCAAGACCCTGTATCTAAATAAAATATATTTTTTTTTTAAAAAAAAAGGGCTGAGGATGTGGCTCAGTGGTTAGGTGTCCTTGAGTTCAATCTCTAGTATCAGATAAATTAATTAATTTAATTTAATAAATAAAAATAAAGCAATAGCATCTACCACCACTTGCATCTTCTCTGTCTGAAGCTGTTAATTTTCAAGTCCCTTAGAYTTTTCTATGTCTTTAGATCCCTCAGAGCCTGGTGGGCAGGGCAGGAATGCTACTCCCACTGAGACTCAGAGATAGGGTGCAACCTACCCAAAGTCACACAGGAAGTCTRTGGCTGAGCTGAGCCCCAGGCCTCTGGATCCCAGGGTGGCCCTCTCTCCTGCTTAAGGAGGAGCCACGCTGCCCTCTGTGGAGGGTGTAGAGGGCAGGCACGAGTCACCCTCTTTCCAGTACTCCTGAAGCAGTGCCTGGAGTCTGTGCTCTCAGTTGCCATGTGCTCTGAAGTCCTTGCTGAGATGTCCTTGATTCAGAGGACCTGTGTTGTGGTCAAGGGCCCCACAGCYACCTCTTCTTTTCTCTAGGATATCCGTGACAATCAACAGGAAGAAGAACATGGTGATCTCCTTTGGTGACGGGGTCACATTTGTGGTTGTCCTGCACCAGGTGTGGAAGAAATTTCCAGGTCACTACGACTTTCTAGGCTTCTACGTGGTGGACAGTCACCGGATGTCAGCACAGACTCATGGGCTACTAGGTATGGAGTGTTCAGACGGCAGGCTACTCACGTGGCAGCATGGGAAATGCATGCACAAGGCCGTCCTGGTCATGCTGGACCCAGCCCACAATCCCTCAATTCAGCTGTTCAGCTTCTGCATCCACCCTGAAAGGCCAGAGGCCACATTACCCATGGTCTTGGCCAGGGACTGACAGGGTGAATGTTTTCATTTCCAGGACAATTCTTCCACCCCTTTGACTTTAAAGTGTCTGACATCCACCCAGGCTCCGATCCCACAAAGCCAGATGCCACAATGGTGGTGAAGAACCATCGGTTGACTGTCACAAGGTAAGGAGACACCTTGGGCCCCCTCATCCTGCCCAGCAACAAGACAGGAAGAAAGAGTGCTCTCTGTCCAGGTGTATTTACCTGGTGGGCTCTTGTTCTCTATGGAGGACCCTTAGAGAACTTGGAGGTCTTGACTCTCTTTAGGCCCCTCCCAATCAAGGAAAAGCCCAATCTCTGCTCTCTAGAAAGAATAATCATGTGACCTCATTCTTGACCAAAAAATTATAGACTCTTAGAATTTCCAAATTCTTGACTCAGTGGTAGAGCACTTGCCTGGCATGTGTGAGATCCTCGGTTCAATCCCTCAACCCACCTACACATACCTGCACGCACCCACATACCTACAAATAATTTTTAAATTCACACCTTTTTCCAATCTTAGGCCCATGTCGCTGCCGTCTTGCCTACCTATGCACCTCTCTCTTTTCTCCCAGGGGCTCCCAGAAAGACTACAGAAAGGACGCCAGTGTTGGCATGAAGGTCGCATGCTGGTTTGTCCACAACAATGGGGAAGGGCTGATTGATGGCATCCACACTGACTATATCGTCCCCAACCTGTTCTGAGGAAACATGGCAACGCTTATCGAGATTTTTCTTTGGTATAAAGGTGTAGAATGGGTCCTGTAGAAGGGCCTGGAACAATAAAATGCAACATGGAAATCATACAGCTGCCTCTGCGTGCCTTCATGAGCCCTTGATCCAAGGAACCCAAAGTTGGACCCAAAGTAGTCCAAAGGAGGGGATGGATGGTAGGCAGGGAACTGATACAGCTGAGAAACCGTGTCGGGGGAATGAAATGTATGATTTGGGAAGGGAAAAAATAAATAATTGACTCTTGGAGCCAAGGGATTCAGGAAGGGTGGAGTGCATTTCAGAATCTAGTGACAYCAAAAGAAAGGTTAGGGGTCACAGCTCAGGAGCTCCTATCAGGACATTCAGAGGTAGAAAGTGCTACAGGGCAGACATAGCTCATATCTAAGTGGTGCTATCAACCACCCCTCAATTTATCCACCTGTGTTAGTCAGCTTTCTGTTGCTGTGACAGATATCCGAGGTAATCGACTTAAGGGAACAACGTTTTATTTTAGTTCATAGTTTCAGAGCCTTCAGACCATGGACATTTGGCCGCATCACTTTGGGCTTGTGGTGACATAGTACATCATGATGGGAGTGCATGGCACTCTGGTCATCTTATGGAGTCCAGGAAGCAGAGAGAGAAGGAGGAGAAGGAGAAGAAGAAGCCAGCATCTCCACATCCCCTTCAAGGGCATGCCTTCCAGAAATCCAGCCTCCTCCTAGATGCTAGAATCACCTCCTAAACATTCCACTACCTCTCAAAGAGTGCCACTGACTGACAAATAAGCCTTTAACATATGGGCCTTGGGGGGGACACATCAGGTCCAAACTATCGTACCACCCTTCCACCCACCATCCATCCATCTATCCATCTATTCACTCACTCATTCATTCTACCATCCTTCCATCCCTACGACCATCTTTTCATCCATCCATCCATCCATCCATCCACTCACAACCCATTGGTCCTGCCATCTATCCATCCCTTTAACCATCTATCCATCCATGTATCCACTGACCCATCCATTGATTCAGCAGATACAATACCCTGGGGTGGGATCTGCTCAAGTTTGCCTTCATCTGGGCCCAGACTTTCTAGGATCCTACAGTCAGCTCATGTGACCCCTTTCTCTCCATCCCAATCAGTCTGGGGTGGGGTGGGAAAGCAGAGARAAGTTCCTGGAGATGGGGCTGTAAAAGATCTGCAGTCTGATCATCTGCTCTTCCTGGGCCTCCATCACTGCCTCCCAGAGAGAGTTTTTTTTTTTTTTCAGAGAAGAATTGATCATTTCTCCCTACCTAAATCCTACAGATGACATCTCCCCTCCAATGCTTTTGGGACAAAAGTCCTTCCTCTGGCCTCTCTAGCTTCCCCTTACATACCAAGTACTTCCCCGAACTTTCTGGATTCCAGATATACAGTCTCCTTCAAATTATGCAAAGGTGACCTGACCTGCCCCAAATCCTTTGCCTGTACAGTTTTCTCTGCCTGGGGTCTAAGGGCGTGCTGGGCAGAGGGGACCCTGGTGAAGGAAGCAGTGAGTGATTTGATAGGTGGCAGAGCAGGGGACACAATAAGGCTGGAGGAGGTTGGACTCAAACTGGGGAAAGCCCTGAATGTCGGTGGCGGATGGCATGTGATCATGGTCATAGGAGTTGTCCTACCTCCCACTTCAGGGGACCCACACCTGCTCCTCACTCCTCRGGCCAGAAGCAATGTTATCTAGAGATCATACTGCTCTAGGACTGTGGAGAGGGGACTAGAAGGAAGGAAAGGCAACTCCCAGATGGCTGTGGGACTCCACTGGCAGTCCGGTGGCTCATGAGATACAGACACCAAACTGAAAGCCCAGGGTGAATGTGGCAGAGGTCTGGGCTGGACCAGCTGAAAGGTCCAAACCTGTGTGAAGGGACCCTCTAGAGTGTGCAGGCCCTGCTATTCCACTCCGTCCTGAATGGGTTAAGGAGCCACATGCTGAGCCTATATCATGAGGTCAGTTTTCACATCCGTGATGGGGAGGAAGATCATGCTGGATGCAGGGTGGGGAAAGACATCCTCACATCATTTCTGGTCCTTCTGAGGCACCATCTCTACCCTGCTGGTCCAGGTAGCAACCAAGGCACAATGCTGGGAGATTGGCAAGGGGAGGGGCCAGCCCAGACCCCACCCCTCTCCAAACACAGGCGCAGGGGGATGCTCGCAGGCAAAATCCAGGCAGACATCCTCTCCCCGTCCACATTGTCCTTGTTCTGCTGGACCCTGCTTCCAGCCCGGCCTTCAGGACCAAGGCCATGCTCCGTGGTGAGGCATATGCAGGCTGAGCAGGTCTGGTCCTCTCTTCACAGCTGCTTTTCCTCCCCCTTCCCAGAACTCAGTGCACAGGGCTCTGGCTCTGGGCCTAGGAACATGCCGGTGTTCCTGCCCTCCTGTCTCCCACTGGACTAACTACTTTTTATCCTTCAAATTTCAACCCAACATCTCCACCTCCAGGAAGGCTTCCCTGACATCCCTAGTCTGGCCGAGATGTCTCCCCTTAGGCTCCTGAAGCACTTGATCATGTGCTGGGTGACGGCTGTCACAAAGGGCACTGTGTCTGTCATCATGCCCARTGTATCCATGGGACCAGCCCAGGGCCTGGCCCAAGTAGGTGTTGGAGAGAAGCTTGAATGAAAGGGAGGATATAGATCTGCTTTCAACTGCACACGGGATACCCACCCTGCAGGTGCTGGCAGGGCCACAACCGGGGTAGTCTGGGTCTGCTACTGCCCAGCCCAGGCAGTTGGGCCATGGGTCAGTGTCCCATGAGCTTGAGTTGGGCAGTCCTTTCATCCCTGTATGTCTCTTTCTAGCCCCACAAGCTGCTCTCTCATCTTGCCAACTTCTGGCCTGAGCCCCTCCAAGAGACCCTCACAGAGAAACAGCCCGAGACCCCCCACCTTCCCTGGGAGTGGGGGCAGAAGTGCAAGGAAGAATGTTTGTGTGGGGCAAACCTGCTGCTGAAGATCCTTCCCACTGGCCTGATCTCTGACCTTCCTAGAAAGATTCTATAGCTCAAGGGCTAGAAAAGAATGTTTCCCTGATGATTTGTCTTTTCCTTTTAGCAAGCAAATGAATTTACTTTCTGCTTCACCCTGACTGCCAGGAAGCTCAGAGCAAAGCTTTGTGGTCTATTTGCAGGTCCCCTACCCTGGTGATTTGTCTCTTTTCTTTTATTCTCATAGTCATGTTTT